CCGCTTGGAGCTCCTCGATCCAGGCGGCCTGCCAAGGCGTGGCTGGCCTAGTCTTTGGCCACTGGTCCTCGGGAACCTCAGTCGGTGTGGGCCGCGAGTTTGTCGTGTGGTCGATGGGTTGTCTCACTTGTGGGTCAGGGGGACTCCTCGGTTGGGTCCCGGGGCGTAGTCGCTGGTGGGGTAGGATCACCACTGGTTGTTGGCGGAATCTGGACCAGGTGAAGGGTGGGGGGGGTGATGCCAGGTCTTCTGTGTGCGGCTGCTGTCTGAGGGGTTGTTGCAGAAGCATGCAACCTTCTGGCAGCAGGGACCGGCCTGGGGCCATGTACGTACTACATTTGATCTTAGCTCATAAAGAGCCAAGAAACAATACCTTTCCTTGGAACAGCGCGCTCCCCTCGTGCTCCCAGTGCTTTCTATGTCACCAGGACCTACTTTCATACCTTCCTAGCTAAGTGGCAATCGCTGCCCCGAAGTGACTCCGATACACTGACTCAAAGCACCAACTCTCCACACCGAATTCTGCTCCCACACAGAGAATTCTCTCCGCCCGTTTCCTTGGGCTCAGCCGGCTGCTCTGTATTGCCGCCAGACATTGCTGATCTGCATAACCCCGCCCACTGACGTGTGACGCCTTCCCTCGGTGTCTGCTACTCTCCCTGCCTGCAACAGACGCTGTGCGCCACGTGCTGCCGGAGCCCCGCTCTCGGAACCAGCCCGTCAGGGCGCGTCCCTCCGCCACTGCTCCAGCCCCCGGCCCGCACCGTCCCTGCCCTGCGCTCCCCCCAGCTGCTGCGCTCAGCGCAGGGAGCCGGGCAGCGAGAGCCGGGCTGTGGATCAAGGGGAGTTTTCTGGGGGCGGGGGTGTGCAGGGGCGATGGAATTTCCGGTCCTTAAAAGTGGGGGGGGCACCAGCACCGGAACGTGGCCGCCCCGCTTCCTCCGAGCCCCATCCCTCACGCTTCACCTTCACCTGCAGGCCCCGCCCTCGCTCCGCCCTTTCCCCCTAATCCGCATCCCCTGCACCCCCAGCCACACACACAATCACCCACACACACACACCGGAATAGTCACAATCGTGCTCAGAGACACAACCACACACAGTTCACTGCCACTGCTCCCAACGCAAGGACCTCCTGCCCTGCACAGCATGGGCCGAGGCCTGTGGAACTCACTGCCACTGGACAGCTACCAATAGGAATGGACCTTTCCAAGAGACCAATAGACACAGCCGCGCCCGTCATAGATTACAAGCCCGTATCCGGTGGCCAAGCTAGAACACCCTTAATTCTGCCCCCTTTGTACATTTCAAGCCCGTATCTGGTAGTGGAGCTAGAGCAGAGCTTTTAGAGGGAGGCGCCCCATCTCAATGCAAAGACTCCAAGGGCTGCAGAATCTGCTCCATCCCTGGGGAAAATCTGCTCCTCGTTTCCAGTCTGGATTTGTCTGGCTTCATCCTCCGGCCATCAAGTCTCGCTCTGCCTTTGTCAGCTGGGTTAAAGAGCCCTCTGCGCCCCCAAATCTCCTTCCTAGGGGGGAGGTTGGTGGAGAAGGGGGGGGGTTGTAATCATTTGATGACTCAGTTTCCCCACTTGCTTGGGTGTGAAGCTCCCCATTGGGCGTGCAGGGCTTAACTTCTCCCACGGGAGTGAGACAGAGCCAGATGTCAACTAGGCCTGCCGGGGCTGGAACCTGGAATGGGAGGCCCAAGGCCCAGAGCACATTCTGCAAAGCAGCAGGCAGAACAGGGGGTCTAGGTGTGAACTGCGCCTGGCAAAGATTTACATTGGTGGCTGCTCAGGGCAGGGGGGAAGCAGAGCAGCCAGCATGTGCCAGGTGCTCGTAATTCACCCAGCTAGTCCTCGCTCCTCCACTGTGGACTCCCGCCACCGCCCTGCCCAGGGGGCCGGCTTCCAGCGCCTGCTTGTGACCTTTCCAAACCAGCCTCTGCAGGTTTTGTCCCAGGAATCCTGACTCCCAGTTCCACCCCCTGCTCTAACCACCAGACCCCATTCCCCTCCTAGAACCAGGGATAGAACCCAGAAGTCCAGACCCCGCCCTCCCCCCCCACAACACACACACTAATCACCAGACCCCATTCCCCTCCTAGAACCAGGGATAGAAACCAGAAGTCCAGACCCCACCCTCTCCGCCCCCCCACACACACACTAACCACTAGACCCCACTCCCCTCCTAGAGCTGGGATAGAATCCAGGAATCCTGGATCCTAGCCCATCGCTGTAACCACTAGACCCCATTCTGCTCTGAGAGCTGAAAATGGAACCCAGGAGTCCTGGTTCCCAGTCTGCCCATCCCCTAACCCCCACCTCTCCTCACTGGCTTTTCTTGACATGTGAAGATCAAGCCTGGTGCCATTAAGAGCCAGGAAGTCTTTATCACAATTCCTTTTCCTCCTCTGAGCCCCAGCCCCTGCCAGCCCAGCACACAGGCTAGTGGGTTACAAATCCATGAGCAGGGATGTTTGTCTATCTGCCGTAGCCCACTGCCTCCCCGGTTACTGTCGGACGGGGCTCCCAGAGGCTAACGCAGCCCCAGGGCCAGGGTAAGTGCTGTGCTCCTGAAATCTCACACTCCCGGGAACTTGTGTTTGGAGTGTGGTTGTGTGTGTGTATGTGTGTGCGGGGGGTGGTGGGGAGAGACAGAGGCTGTGTTTAGAGTCTCAAAGCATCTTAAAATGAAACGGAAGGTGTTTCTCTTGCTTCTCGGCTCCCTAGAGCTAAGATCAAAGTGTAGTGTAGTGTGTAGCTATATGAGGGCTGCAGCACCACCATCCGCTCGGTAGAAGGGGAGACCGCAGAGATACCGATCCACAGCGGCGTGAAGCAGGGCTGCCCCCTCAGCCCCATCGTCTTCAACCTCGCCATGGAGCCGCTCCTGCGGGCGATCTCCGACGGCGCCGACGGCTTCGACCTGCACGGCGAGAGGGTGAGCGTCTTGGCCTACGCGGATGACCTGGTCCTGATCGTGGACGACCCCGAGAGGCTCCAGGGCATGCTCGACACCATCGGGAGAGCCGCGGACTGGACGGGACTCCGCTTCAATGCCAAGAAGTGTGCGTCCCTCCATGTTGACGGGAGCAAGAGGGACTCGGTACTGATGACGGAGTTCCTCATCCAGGGCGAGTCCGTCGTTCCCCTGGCGGAGGGGCAGGCGTACCAGCACCTCGGCACGCCGACAGGCTTCCCCGTCCGGCAGACCCCCGAGGACACCATCAGGGAGATCCTGCAGGACGCCGCCAAAATCGACACATCCCTGCTGGCGCCGTGGCAGAAGATCAACGCCCTCAACACCTTCCTGATCCCCCGCATCGCCTTCGTCCTGAGGGGATCCGCCGTGGCAAAGGTGCCCCTCAACAAGGCGGACAACGCCATCCGGAAGCTGGTCAAAAACTGGATGTCCCTGCCCCGGAGAGCCAGCAACGAACTCGTATACATCAAGCACAGGCACGGTGGTGCCGGCGTCCCCCGTATGGGAGACCTCTGTGACATCACGGTCCTCACGCACGCCTTCCGCCTCCTGACTTGCCCGGACGCCAAAGTGAAGAACGTTGCAACGACCGCCCTACACGCCGCCACCGAGAAACGAATCGGCAGACCTCCCTCCGACCGAGATGTGGCCACCTTCTTGAGCGGCCCCCTGGATGGCGACTTCGCCCGGGACAGGGGCGATTTCGCCTCGCTGTGGACCCGCGCCCGCAATGCCACGCGCCGGCTGGGAAAGCGCCTGGGCTGCCGCTGGGAATGGAACGAGGAACGGCAGGAGCTGGGAGTCCTGATACCGCGGATCGGAACGGAGGACAACATCATCGTCACCCCCGGAGCCAGAGGCGTGCTGGAGAGATCCCTGAAGGCCGCCGTCCACGTGCTCTACGTGGACGCCCTGAAGAAAAAGCCGGACCAGGGTAAAGTCTTCGAAGTAACCAGCAAGTGGGACTCCAGCAACCACGTCCTCCCCACAGGCAGCTTCACCCGGTTCGCCGACTGGCGGTTCATTCACCGCGCCCGGCTGAATTGCGTCCCGCTCAACGGTGCCATCCGCCACGGGAACCGGGACAAACGTTGCAGGAAGTGCGGGTACGTCAACGAAACCCTGCCCCACGTCCTATGCTGCTGCAAGCCCCACGCCAGAGCCTGGCAGCTACGCCACAACGCCGTCCAGGACCGTCTAGTGAAGGCCATCAACCCGCGTCTGGGAGAGATCACTGTCAACTGCACCATCCCCGGCACCGACAGCCCGCTGCGCCCAGACATCGTCGTCACGGACGAGGTGGGAAAAAAGATCATCCTGGTCGACGTAACGATTCCGTTCGAGAACAGGACCCCGGCTTTCCGTGAAGCCCGAGCCCGCAAGCTCGAAAAATACGCCCCCCTGGCTGACACCCTGCGGACTAAGGGCTACGAGGTGCACGTCGACGCTCTGCTCGTTGGGGCCCTGGGTGCCTGGGACCCGTGTAACGAACGCGTGCTGAGGACCTGTGGGGTGGGCCGTCATTATGCACGGCTCATGAGACGCCTAATGGTCTCGGACACTATCCGTTGGTCTCGGGACATCTACATCGAGCACATCACCGGCCACCGCCAATACCGAGAGTGAGCCGGGGAGACCTCGTGCACCCACACACACCCCCTGCTGGACCCTATCCCCTGAGCCCTGAACCCACCAAACCTAACTGAATCCCGCCACGTGAGGGTCACCCCATCCCCATTACCCAGCCCGCTTACCTATACCCATGACTATCTCTACCTCCCGCATGGGTGATAGACCCTCACTGCTTATCGACTGTCTCCTGATCCCGCCCACCGGTTACCCACCCCTCATTGGGGACATTGCAGTGTGTATATACTATGTGTGCTGCCCAGCCCCAAAACACCAACATACCCCCATACTCTGTATGCTACCCCCAATGACCAATAACTGATGCTTCAAATTTTCTGTATCGTTTATTTTTTCTAAATATTCTCTAATAAAATTTAAATCAGTTGCCCCACCCCAGAGGTGGCTGCATCTTAGCGCTGGGCGAGCCATCCCCATGGGGCATTATGTGCGACTGTTCCCCGGCTGCCCTGTGCCAGAGGTGGCTGCAGCTCAGCACCCGGTGAATCATCCCTCCCTGGTATTATGTGTGGCTCTTACCCAGCTGCTCCACCCCAGAGATGGCTGAATCTTAGCACCGGGTGAGCCGTCTCTGCCTGGTGTTATGTGTGGTGTTTCCCGGCTGCTCCACCCCAGAGCAGGCTGCATCTCAGTGCCAGGGGAGCTGTCCCCGCACAGCATCTGTGTGCAGCTGGTAACTGGGTTATTATTTGCACTGTAGTAGTGCTGAGCCCCACGCCCGGGTAAGCCCCCCAGTGTGCTAGGAGCTGCGCAAACACAGGAATACCGCTGCCCCTCTGGGAATTTGTATGTCAGTTACCCGAAGGAGGAGAAATTAGCACCGTGGCCGCTGGGTATATTCTCAGTGCAACTTGTTTCTTTGCTGTATGTGCACCAGTCCTGGACACAGGGCCGGTGCAAGGTAGTTTCACGCCCTAGGCGAAACTTCCACCATGCACCCCGCCCCCAGCCCTGTGGCAGCTCCCCCCCCTTGAGGCGCCCCCCAGCGGCTCCCCCCCCTGCCCTGAGGTGCCCCCACCCACGGCACCTCACCCCCCAGGGAGCCATGCGGCAGCTCCCCACCCCAGCTCCCCTCTGCTCCGCCTCCTCCCTGAGCATGCCGCCCCCGCTCTAATTCTCCTCCCCTCCCAGGCTTGCGGTGCCGAACAGCTGATTGGCCCTGCAAGCCTGGGAGGTGGGACAAGTGGAGCGGCGACCGCGCGCTTGGGGAGGGGGCGTAGGAACGCTGTAAAAAGAATCGGGGGCACCGCTTTTTGGCGCCCCCAAATCTTGGCGCCCTAGACAACCGCCTACTTTGCCTAAATGGTAGCACCGGCCCTGCCTGGACAGACGTGGTTGTAAACAGCATCCAGGGAACTCCTTCTGTGGGGACTCTCAGCAGAAACCACCCAGGCCAGGTTCCCGGGGAGCAAATAACTCTCCATAGACTGAGGGGTTGAGACCGCGAGCACCCCAGAGAGAACTAAAGTGCAAAAGTGAATGAAAAACAAATGTCTTTCAAAGCCTGAACAGTTGCTTGCATACTAAGGACAAATTGTAATAGCACCACCTGGAGGCTTCTGGCAGAACAAAGAGAAGGAGCGCCTCATGTGCCATGGAGACCCCGTGGGGTCTTTGCTGAGCCATTCTGTACTCCATACTCCACCCCCCCCCCGCTAATGCTCACCTCCCCTCTAGGGGGCAGAGGAGAGCTCAGTCCCTATGGCGAGCGAGGGGCAGGTTAACGCCATCTGGTGTGTGGATTTTGTACTCCATACATGTTTGTTAGGAACAGGGCTGAGATGCTCACAGCTCACTCTACCCAGCCGTCTACAAGGGAAAAGCCCCTCCCCCAGATCTAACCATTAGATCCCACAATTCTCTCCAAGCCAAGAATAGAACCCAGGAGTCCTGACTTCCAGTCCGCCCTGCTCTAACCCATTGGACCCCACTCCCCTCCCAAAGCCAGGGAGAGAACCCAGGAGTCCTGGCCCCCAGCCCCTGCCCCTGCCCTAACCTATAGACTCCGCTCCCCTCCCAAAGCCAGGGAGAGAACCCAGGAGTCCTGGCCCCCAGCCCCTGCCCCTGCCCTAACCTATAGACTCCGCTCCCCTCCC